GCCCAGGTGTTCCGGTAGCATCCGATGCTCTGTTTAAATCTCCATTTTCCACATCGCTTATTCCACTACTGTCATTTCCTCAGGCAAGTAGAGGCAGCACTTTACTGCGGCGCTCGAGTCGGATCACTGCCCATGTATGCATCCCTCAGTCTGACTTAGAGGCTCCCAAGTAGGGTTACCATATTTGGTGGGATGAAAAAGAGGGCGTGTCCAGGGATCAGAATATTAATGAGTTCAATGGCCAATCATGTAGCACTTAATGTGTTTTCCCTAACCATCCTGTGAAACGAAAATTCTCATCCGAGAAAACCCGGACTTATGGTAACCCAACAGTTAACTTTTGTTTTACAATCTACACACAACTGACACAATACACATGTAAAAGTCTTTTTCGACAAAAGTTACAAAATGCTAAGCTAAAGTTAGTTAAACTTCAAGCAAAGGATTCAATTCACTGTTCACACGAAAACAAAAATAAAGTGTCAGCGTAACAATGGCTGCCGGAAGTTAACGTTAATGAGTGGCAGCCATATGTTGAAAATTGATGCCTTTTGCTTCACTTGGTACTGCACTGTGACACCATTGAGTCATATGAATAAACCGCCAATTTTTGAAAAACTCTAGGCGGATTAAGGTCCAAAAAGAGGACAGAGAACCTTGGACGTATGGTATCCCTGCTCCCAAGGACCAAGGCCACCATTTAAGTGCAGTGGTCAAAAATCCTGTCAAATTTAGTTCTTCGTGACATTTTTAGTCCATCGCTACAAGCTAGCAACCACAGTCCCAAGTGGTAATGTGATCCGGGCTGCACATCTTACACAGGAATATAGTTATCCACGCGGGGGGGACTGATTAATCGGCTCAGCCACTTTGAGGCTGAATATCCTGCTTTTATAGTGCACTAATTCACATCACTCAGGGCTACAAGCAAAGCAATAGAGCAGAGCTGGACTTGTGACCTAAATGGCTGCATTTCAAAGGAAGACCATTTCCACTGTACCCCTGAGCACCACGCTTAACCCGAGTGGCCCCAGTAACATCTCCGGCTTTACAAATGAGCAGCCTGAAGGAGCTGGGCACACCTGGAGATGAGTACCCATGTTCCTCTCCTCATCTCCAGCAAAAACTTCGGGAATAGTTAAATACCACAGTGGTTTATCAGTGTGCAAATTCTCTTTGAGCACCTTACTGCTTGATGACTTATTCAGATTTTTCTATGCACACTCAATCTTTTACAATGCCTTTACTTGTTGATACAGCAGGATAGCTACTCACGAAGGATAGGCTAAGTTCACGTCCAGGGGTACAAGACCGATTCCCTGTCCGGGATTTTACCTGTGACCTTTAGGTCAGGAGTCCAGCTCGATAACCGCACCTTTCGCATATGTTTAATGACCGGCAGCCGCCTGGCAAGGGCTGCCATCCCATCTGCGGAGAGTAGCCTGTTAGCATGCAAATCAGCCAATTAAAATTCACACTGCACTCCCGCCCACATCCTGTGTCAGCCCTGATTTATCCGCTCCTCTCAGCACTGTTGAGATGCTCACTCACGCCAACATGTTCTGCCTACCTGAGATACGCTGTTTAAAATCTATATAAAGACGTGGTTTGTGTTGCACATGATTAGCCACCCTTATTAATACATAATGTGGGAAACTCTTTGAAACGTTTTGCTGTTTTCAACACAATCTTTCTTCATTCTAGTTTCTTTATAAGCGCCACTCCCTCCACTCTGCTGAAACACTCCAGCAAAGTTGACTGCTGTCTTTACTCACTACAGATAACATAGCACCATTCCACCTGCAGGAGGCAGCAATGTGAGGGCGTGGAACAGACCCCTGGATCAGATTAATTAATCCTGGCATTTTTTTGGAGGAGTGGATTAGCATTTAGCTGGATCTGTGCACATGGCTGGAGGTGTAACAAGCTGAGCTTAGCCAGAATCAAAAGGCAAAATAATCACGAATTACTGAATGTCCATAATCACCTCCGACATGTTGACAAACAATTTGTCTGAGGGACGTTTCGAAAACAGTTTGAATATGTAGATAGCAATGTAATTAAAAACAAAAACCCTTTTAAAAATGTTGTGGAAAGAAATCAAATGAGGCCATTACTTAAAACGTCGACACCAGTGAGACACTGAAAAATGAGATGTCCGTTTTTTTCTTGCCATCGCAATAACATTATGTATTATTATTTACTGCTATCTTTCTTAATTTATTTAAGTAACCTTGTGATCAGCCGGATACGTTTCGTCTAATATAAATAGTCTAATAGATCCCCTGCCTTTTTACGTGCCGCTGCTGTGAAAGTGAACAGTGATCTGAACACCCAAGGAGCCGATGTGGAAAGTCAATTTAATCAGAGAAAGCCCGCTGGTTTTCAGTGAAGTAACGAAGTGTTTGCTGCATGTTCCTGGTGCTCATGTTTCTCCCAGAGGTCCGACTCCATTTCTGAGTGACGCGGCAGTGCCTGTAGTAAACAGCCCTGTGCTGTCACCCCCCCTCCCCACTGTCATCCCACCCCTGCCTAGACGGCTATGCTGTTAGCATTCAATTATCTTTTATTTCACTCTGATTAGGCATGTTAGAAAGATCGCCAGGCGCTGCGCGGTCTGAGTTAAATGAAAGTGAAAATAAATAAATAACACTCTCTAAGAGACTGTGCAATGTTTGGACCTAATCTCATTCTGGGATATTGCCTTGGTGCACGCTCCAGTTTCACGCTGGAAATCTGACTTGCACTGGGCTGTGATCCCCTTCAACAGGCACAGCAGGTGCTGCCGTATGAAGACACGCCATATACAGGGTAACTTCCTATTTTCATTTTCCAAGCACTTAGCAGGACAGTGACTGAACTGCAAATGGAGCATGGACGCTCAATCTGTACGATCTTGCCACCAGACACTCAGTGCCAGGTCTATCTCAATTCCAAATTACAGTTGATAATTGAGCGATGACGGAGCCTCAGCCCCATTCTTGCACGATGAAACCACTCAGCACCTACATTACCCATAAGTCTTTGCATCGACATTTAAATACCAAAACCATAAAAATGGCCTCAACTTAAAAATGTAACTACCAGAGTCATTTTATATTTTCGTTATAAAACCCAATATGGTGTTCACTTAATGTGTAGCTGAAGAGTGAATCAGATACTCAATTAGGTAGCAAATCAAATCTTGTGAGGTGGGAATTTGTACCTAAAAGTAATTTTATGAGGCATGTGAAGAGAATTTTATAAAAGAAATAGTGTAAACTTATGAGAGGTGACTATTAATTACTGATTGTCCCTGAAGATATTTGTCTGAAGCACTGATGACTTAAGTGTGCACCCTAATTGTCGCGGAAGTCGGCACTTGTGGAAAGGATTAGCATTCCAGCTTTCTATTTTAAGATTCAAGAGACATCACACTGCTGCCCCTACAGCGCTGCTGTTCCTGAGGAAGCTCCTCGGCTGACCTTGTTGGTCGATCAGTGTTTATGTTGTTGTGGTGGGCGATTTGTCCCCGGGGTGACACCGGTGCTGCTCATCTTGCCCTGTTGTTGTGGTTTGTTGCTGTTTTCTGTCCCTATTCTTGTTGAGAATGTCTTGCAGTTTTCTTTTCACTCTCTTTTTTTTTTTTTTTTTACAATTTGTAGGGACCGTGTAGCATGCCACCCCAACCTCCAGAAGCAGCTCATCACGCAGGCAGTGGGCAGCGGGCAGCGGGCAGCTCCTTCCTGGCTCGGCTGTGGGAGCCCCTGTCATTGTCACTTAGTAAGCTCTACTGGTGTTGCTGCTAGTGGGGGGGAATCGCATCATATAACAAGTACCGTACACAAGGGTTTTACTTTCCCTTACAAATCTCATGAAGCACATCCTCAATAACAGCCATGGGATGTTTTCACGTTGAATTTAATCCAAGTAATATCTTAATAAATGCAAACAAAGAATGACTGTTCAACGACAATAGCAAAAAGCTGACTGATTAAGACTTGGACAACTACGCAAAATATGTCATTATTATTGTTGTTATTTATTTATTTTATTTTATTTTGCAATACAGGCAGTCCCCAAGTTAAGTACACACGACTTACAGACAACTTGGGCTTATGAACGGACTGACAAAAAACCTATTTTGTTAAAAAATTGCATTGCATGGCTTCTGAGTTATATCGGCTTAAGGTGCACCACATTACCATATGTAGTTACTTTTATTAATACTTTATCATTATTATTCTTATGTATGATAATATTATTTTTCCGACTTACCTACAAATTGGACTTAAAGTCAAACTTAGGGTACGGATCTCGATGGTAACCTGGGGACGGCCTGTAATGTTGAACGTCATCGTGCGTGATTGTGACACAGCCATGCTCGATGCGCCCCGAGGCTCCTTGTGCTGTAACACGTCAGTTTGTGACTGGTGAGATGCAGTTAATCTGCCAGCTCCATGCAAAATACGTCCCTTGCAGCAGCCCCCATTCCAGCCCAGCGCAGATGCCAGAACAGACAGCCCAGCTTGCTGCCGACAGAAACACTGGCTTGCTGGATCAGTCTAAAAGGCAGAGCTTTGGAATGAAGAGTAACTGGAACAGCTCCGGCCCAGCCAGTGATCAGACTGGAAACATGACAGCCCCAAACCAGGACTACCTCTCAGCAAGTAGATTCTGCTGAGCTGGAGCTCCAAGTCCTCTGCTAAGGAAGCCATTAAAATTCTTTCCTCGATCTGAATCGAAATCCAGTTTTTCCTGGACACTTTCTGGCCTAATGGCTCCCCTTTACCTGAACTGCCAATCACCACATAAGACCACACCGTGCCACATGCGGGACCCCACTCCGGCCGAGGGAAGAACAACAAACCGCAACCGCAATCGCTTGAACATCTAGGAATCAGCAGAACATAAAAAAAGACCTCTAAAAATAAATGCAACACGGTGGGGGTGTTTATAAAGCTGAAAGCACTTCATACCATATAAATCAGCTTTCACACAAAAAGCCTTTTGCTACTTACTCTGGAGTTCACGACCTCTAAGGAGACATTTTGTGGAGCAGAGCTTGGCACTGTAGGGAAGGAAGAAGATAAGGATTAGATAGAGAGCCATACACACACATACATGCACACATACTGTACAGCTAGGACACACACAGAAACATGTCTGTGGGGGAGGGGGTCTCCTGATCCTCGTTGTCTCACAGTACATAAGTGTGGTTCCTTTCTCATCTGCCAGTAGATGTATCCAAACCCATCCAGCCCAGTTATAATCGTCCATGGCTCAAAGCCGTTTTTTTCTTTTTCTCTTTGTGTATCTATTTACACTTTTCTGTATTTGTCCTGCACACCGCTGTCACCCCCACTTGCCACTCCACCCGTGGTGAAAATGATCAAAAGTGTGATAGATGCAGTCACAGTCAAATATGTGTGAGTTGTGTCAGACGGGAACCGCTGGTCATCAACGAGTGTTTGACCAGATGGCTGTAAAAGACACGCTTTTCTACATCGGAGGATGAGACTGCACGTCACACATAAGCATATACTCCCCCCAACCCCACACACACACACACACACACACACACACACACCTACTAGGACCAGAGCACGTGCACAGTGTGCACTGACAGGCATCATTAACCAGCAATAACACTGTCCCACTGCAGGAGAAGGTAGACAATGGAAAGCACCCATGGTGTCATTTCTGATGATCGCCAATCAAACAGCAGGTAATTACACTGTAAAAGAAGCTTCTGGAGAACAGAGCAGGACCAGAATTGCTCTGGTTGATGGCATATTGAGCCTCCGGCATTATAACGCCCTGACAGAGACGGGCTGAAGTCTTTTGTTACACATAAATGGAGTAATATATGTGCATTCTGGAAGTCATTAGACTGCTCTGACTGATCATGAAACGGGTTTTGTTTTTAAGCAACGGAATTTCCATTATAGTCTAACAAATCATTTCCTGTTTCCAATAAAGGCGCCGCCGCCTCATTACTTGCAGAAAGATGGTGCGACGTGAGCAGCAGGATTTATCTGCATGGGCTTCCTGTCCAGCGAGGCGGACGGACGCCTCGGAGCATCCGATTAACGCCTCAGGGGCCAGATCTGACCTTCACACCATGCGTCTCCATGCAGGGATATGCGCTTGTTGCCGATTCTGGGACATGGATCCGCATACATTTCTGGGTTTCAGAAGCACAATCAGGTCTCTGGTGCTGGCTTGGTTTTCGGGGTTCTGAAGAATCGAGAACTGGTTGGTCCTGCCTGAGTTGCTACAGTGTGTAATGGGGGGAACCTGCTACCACAATCATGACTACATATTGCATTTATTTTGCATTTATCCATAGCTTCTCTTATGCATTTTAGGGCATAGAATGCATGAAATATACACAAAAAAGTATAACAAAAACATTACCTTGAGGCAGGTAATAACCTTTGGAATGCATTAGTAACAGAGTGCAGTGCTATCAGGGTTATTTAGCACATAATCCCACAGCTGTCAGTAAACACCAAGTGAATTCTAAGCAAAGCTCCTTCAGCAGCGTGGCTCGCGCGTGGAGAGGAAGTGGCCACCGGGGGCGCCAATCCTGAGTGGCGCGCCTACAGCTCACTGAATCACACGTGGAGAAGGAAGGGGGAGAAGTAGGAGAAAAAGCCCAGCAAGGATTGGTCATGTTCAGGGGGGGGAGTGTCGAAACTTTAGAAAATGTTCTTTGCGAATAGAATGCAGATGGAGACCTGGAACGACGGTGCAAATTCAATTCTGCCGGAGCCCTAATTATACCGTTAAATGGATCTGTTTCATTGAACCGGCAGATTTTTGTGCACGCACGCCGCACACGCAGCCCACGCGCCACTGCCGAGAAGGCTTCCCGTTCCCGGCTCACCCCCAAGCTGTCAGGCTCCGGAGACATTTCCACCTAAGCTGCGGTCGGCCGTTAGCACCGCTGAGCTATTTTCCTGTCATCGTTTTTTATTTATTTTTTTAATCCGCAACACATGTGTGGACTTTAAAATTCTTATATCGGGAAAAATTACATTAACAAAACACGCCACGTAATCACAAATTGGCTTATCAGTGCGTTTAACCTAGAGAGTCCTGGCGAATCTCCTTTCATCACGTCCTTCCTGTCTTAATCCACATGGATGACTTCAAAGCCCATTACTTGAATGTGCTTTCATCATCTAGGTAATGATGAGTGTTGGGGACATCACACACTCCATAAACAAAACATCCCACATAAAGACCTCAAAAGGTGCAAAATTACAGCACCAGCCAGGCTGAATGTAAGAATAACAGTCACACATGGAATGCAAACAACGATAATTGCAATTTTGTATAATTGCAACACAGTTAAAATGGCTTATTCACCATTTCTACATTTGTTAAGTTTCCATTTTGCATACCCCATCCACGAGAGATTGTTACTTGGGACTTTCATATCAACTCTGATAAAGTTTTTAGTAATTTGTAAACACATTCTTAACAAACAATAATGCATTCATAAAGCATTATAAACATGGCTATACATATTTATCAATAACACATTATATCCATGTTCATTATGCATTATGAATGTCTTATGAATTGCTCATCTATAATGCACCATAGTTACTTTTATAATGCATCATGATGGTCAGTATAAGCATTAAAGATGCTTTGTACTGCATTATGAAGGTGTCTGTAGTGTATTATAGATGAGGTAAGGCAGTCATAATGCATAATAAACATGGCTATAATGTGTAATGCCTTTTTATAAATATTTGTACCATGTTTATAATGCATTATGAAGGTGTTTATAATTTACTAAAAACATGGCTTTAAGTAAAGTGTTAACTTTAAACGCTAACGTTTATACCCATTAAGCTGCACCTACTTCGTCGACTGAAACCCCCTGTTTGCTGCTCTTCGCATTGACCGGCCCTGAATCAGAATGAATGCTGTAATAGCTGACACTTCTTAGTCTCTGCGCAGTAGCCAGCCCCTTCCCTGCTGCTTGCTGAGTGAAAGCTGTATGGTAACACGCTGTCGCCTTTCATGCCTCTGCTCTCATACAGCAATATGAACATGCCTCACTGATGCTCCTCTGTCTGTTAGTATGAGGTATATTGTGACTATTTACTGTACATCTTTAATATCTGCCATATCCCCCCTCCACCTTTTATGGTTTAATTCAATAAGCTTTATTATAATAATATATACCTGCAGAAAACTTTGATTGGGGTGGCCATCAGCTCATGGAAGTTTTACTTACAGAGAAATGTTCTGAGGGCAGAAGGAAAAATGATTGGTTCAACAAGATAACCAATCGGATTGTAGAGGAGATGGGTCAAACCAATCAGATGTCTTGTTCCCACCTACCTAGTTGCTTGGCCCCGCCTCCTCTACAATCTGATTGGTGAGCCAATCATTTTTCCATCTGCCCTCAGAACGTTTTTGTGTACATAAAACTCCCGCAAGCAGTTCCACTTATGGGGGTGGCCGTGCCACAATGGGTCTCTTCTACGGTTCCACTTAGAAATTTGAATTTCTAAATAAATAATCAATAATAAATAATTTCTAAATAATCCATATTTCCACTCTATTATACTGGCATGGGATGAAAACTGGGGTGTCTATGCATTGAGACCGCCTAGTTCTACCCCTGGTATGACAAAATCAATTGTGCAATCACAGAAATCTATATCATAAATCATGAATAACATCCACTACATTTAAAGCACAAAGAAATTTTCAGATTTATTGTTCACTAAAGTTCTATTAAGCTGCACTACTTTTCTAGTCTTGTAGTATGGTAACTTGCACTGACCAGCTGGATAAACAGCCTTTTGGTCTTGACCAGTGCATGAATTTCAGACAGAACTATTCCCTGGAAACAAGGAATGTTGGCCACATGCGCATGTCTAGCTGAAAGGACACTGCTTTCCTAAATACCGTGACGAGTGCCACACGTGTACCCTAAATGCTGTGCTCCTGTACTTTTCACTAATTGTTAGTGCTTCGGATGCGATATAAATAAAAGCATAAATTAGTGAGTCTCAGAGGAGCAGGTTCATCCGGTCATGAGAGAGAGCGAGTGAGAGAGAGAGAGAGAGCCAGCCGCACGTGGAGCCGTGCCCTTTATTACCTCGGAGCGGGCCACTGAGGGAAAAGTCACTCTTATACAGTTTCGTTACTGAGCACGAGAGCCTTAATGAGGCAGGGCGCTGGAAGAGCACCCCCAAGCTATGCTCTGGTACAATATGGCCTCTGCTTATAGAAGATGAGGCACATTGGCGTCCCAAGGTCTGCTCATCTACAGCCGACGCTGAGACTAATGTTGGAGGACAACCCAGGGAGATAGCCTCTTCCCCAAGTAGCACAGAACCCATAGGGGGCACTGGAGAGCAGAGACACAGGACAAAGTCAGCTCACTGTGGACAATCCAATACAAACGCTGATCTTTATTGGCCGTCAGTTAAAATTAGTCTAGTCCTCCAATTGCTGATTTTCCGATCCCTGGATTTTCAGGCTGTGAGCTTGCCAGAACTATGCACGATAAAGATTTCCATTTAAATACAAAGTATAGGTGTGCAGAGCAGCAGCAAATTAATTTTTGAAGAACTAGGGGATCACTGTTGTCTGTTGTCCAAAAAAATGATACAGTAAAATCGGCAAATCTCTAAATTACTGAATGGAGCAGTGAAAGTAAATTCAACAATAGTGCATAAGTAGCACTGCAAAAAAATTTAAGCAAATCTGATATATTTAACATTATGTTAATTACATATTTAACAAAAATCTAACTATGAGCCTTAATGGGGGTCTTACATTTCATAGCTTTTGAATGGAGTCAAATATAAAAGTCGATGAGAACATGCATTTAATTACATTACTAAGAAGAAAAAAACATTCAACGGCAACCTAACAGCGATCGAGCCTCACAATTAAAATAGAATGAAAACTAGAAAGAAGAGATTAGAGACAGAGAAGAACAAGTGTTAAAGAAAAATAAAACATAACAGTACTTTTTTGTAAACAGTGACTTAGAGGAGAAGGCTTTGAGCCAGTCATTTGAATTAGCTTTAATTTAAAAAGAAAAGATATTGTGTAATATTAGGATTTTAATTTTCCGTTGGAATGTGTTTAACATTCTTCTGTTCATTTATTTCTAAGGCATGTGTTCAACCTTTAAATGTAACCGTGACCAAGTCTGTCTGCCTATTTAAATATCAAAATGTTCTAAATACATTAGATGCCTTATAAACACAATTGCAGCTCCAAGTACTCCTGCCCTTATTAGGACCCGGGTGCCAGTAGAAAGCAGTGGGTGAACTTGGCTGGAAGTGGAGATGAGGGTAAAAAACAGTGTGAGCAGGAGTATAAATAAGGGACTTTGTAAGCGCAGTCACACTCAGGCCTCCGTTAACTCAATGAGCATTAACCTGCAACCCAATGAGCATTTCTTCGAGAGCGTTTGTCCACAACCCCCTATTCTCACAAGGAAGCCACAGAGAAATTACTAAGTAATTCTATTAAGCAATTACTGAACTGAAATTTCTGCATCTCAAAATGAACCAGAGCTCTTCCTGAATCAAACTGACATTGAAAATACTAGTAGCTAAAATATCATGAAACAGCCACCAGGAAGGCCAACTAAAAGCCCACAGACATAATTCAAGCTGTAAATGAGAAAGAATGTCCTACAAATTTGTTAGCAAGCCAAGTTTGGAAAATAAAGGAAAAATACCATGTTGCTTAAAAGAACACGTTCTATTTAAAGTGATTCCTTTTACAAACACACCTGGTACAAAATATCCAAATTAAAGTATGTTAGAAGTGGCTGTTGTCTCTCCAAACTCAGCAAATTATTATTATTTTAAATAAATAGGACACAGTGTTATACCCACGTGGAGATTTTGTATAATATTTTATATATGTAGTGTGTTTAGTATAAGTGGATTGTATATTGTAATTAAAATGTATTACAATTTGGGGGCTATACAGGCATTTAGCTGGGCAGTGAGGACAGGACAGCCATGGACGTACAGGGAAACGATTACTAGGTAATTATGAGGTTAGCAGTTATTTTAAAGATTTCTACTGCATAAATTACTGAAGCTTTTTATGTCCTGCATAAAAGAAATGCCACATTATATAGCAGAAAGACTTCAGACGATGTACGTATTGTAGAATATTAACAAGTAAGTGGAGAAATTAAACCAGGGGAATGGAATGAAATAAAAACCAGGGTGAACAAGACCCTCTGGGGAATGAGTGTGAGACATCAAGGTACTGTATGAGTTCTCCAAAAAATAATCCAGGTGCTCTGAAAGTAATTTGCTTTGGTGCTGGCTCTGTTTCAATTGTACACAGTCTTGGTAGCGAATGGGAAAATGGGAATCTGCTAGGGTCAGGAATTAATCACTGGGTATTATTAAACAGTTTGTTGCACCACAATGAAAACATATACATCACTTAGGAGCAAATTTAGCCAGATAAAAGTTTTACATGACAGCACAGTCAAAGAACTGATCTGTTACCTGTTTGAAATCATCATCAGAGACAAACCAGTGACGACACCGCTGAGGTAATTAACTTTGCTGCAGCACACGGCCGCTGCATTTTACGTACTTTATAAAGGGCAGTGGGGTAAAATGTCATACGTGAACTTCAGCAGATGGCTATGGAATTTACAGATACACCCTGAGATACCTGCCGCGTGAGACAGAACGGCAGAGACAGAATTACAGATGATGTCAGCTTTTTGAATCCTGCTTACTGGATCTTTTTTAGGGGTCTGAACTGACATGCAAACATAAATGGACCAGCTTCAGGCATATACAGAGAATGTGAAGAAAACCTGAAGCCATTGTTGGGGTCGAACTCCGCCGGGTCCGTTGATGAGAAGAGATTCACAGCACAGTCGAGGAGTAGTTGCAAGTCACCAGTTTATTATCTATTCAGATTATAATCCGGGAGCGACCATCTGACATACATTCAGCATGTGCAGAAAGAAGCTCAATCCATAAGTCTCGGGTCTGTCCCTTTATAGGCCTTCTGGGGTGTCACCCCCCGTCTCGGTAATTTTCCCTTCGCATGACTACAACACATCTTGACATTCACCCTATTTAGCCAGTGAGTACATGTTCCTAATTAATCAGTAAGTACGTGTTTCCTTTTTTTGTTAAGCATAAGCAAAAATAAGTATCCGTTCTATGGTGGGTTCCTGTTTTCCTCGTGTCTCCTGCCAGGTGGTCCTGACCTGCTGGCGTACCGTCAGTTCCCAATTTCTCCAAACTGGGTGGGGTGAGATCACCCCGTCCTACCGGGCTAGTATCGGTTCCCAAATCTGCTGTCTACATTATGTTAGATATATTATTAGAATTAGTAAGTAAATTATGATATGATTAACCCCTCACCATACATATGCTGTCTTATTCCTCGTTTTAGGTGAGTTTAGCTGACATTTTTAGAATGGAATGAAACCGTGATTATAATATAAATGGACAATGAGGAAGCAGCGGTAGATTTACAAAAGAAATAAATAAATAAAAACCCATTTTATACTATTGGAAAATTGCACTTAATGACTTTAATGACAATGAGGTGTGAAAATCAAGCAGGGGTGGGGAAGTGTGAAAGGCAATGCACGTAACAAATGCAGAACTCATGCTCTGCAAAGAATTAAATGTGACAAACAGGAGCCAGAGTGCTACTCTGCACCTTAAAGAGTTCTTACAGGTGCCATCAAAGGTATGAAATATCTCCAGTCCTTGGGGAGGTACCTACTTTCTAAGATTCAACATGTCCCGAGTCAACCTGTCTGTGGTGCTAAACTTTTGAGACACAATGGAAGCCAACCAGAATCCGGAACCAGAAAGATATATGGCAAGCTGTCTTGCCTTGTTTCTTCTGACACAGGCTAATGGTAGCTCTTCAAAGCTATTCAAAGTTCTGAACCAGTGAGACTCAAAGGAAGATGTCCATAGTTTTAAACCAAGAAAAAACAAGGAAAACTATTCATAGTTCTTATTGCATAGTTCTTATTCATATTTATTGCAGAAGTAGCAGAAGCCATCTAAGATCCTAAAACAGAAAGCCACAGCACTGACAGGCAGTGGAATGGAGAGTAGACTGTCTGTCTGTGAACCAAGTTGACCTCAGAACATACTGAGTAGTGCTTCTGCAGTAACCTGGCACCACTGATAACTGGGTGAACTCCTAAAAGCAATATATTCCACAGCCTGGGCTGCCTGGGAACACATTAAGATCTCTGACATCAAATGATGGTCGAGGGTCGAATTCATCCTTCTCTGCTCGACACAACTTGGATATTAGATGAAACTCTCATCACACTCTGATATCAGTCTGTGCCCCCGTAACTATAATTTTGCTGTACACCATCCTCATTCCAACTTCATTCGTTTATTCCTTATAACTATTGCATGGATATTTGGCTATTCCAGGTGTGTTGAGCTGAAAGAGTGACTAATTACACAATCATTCACGGGAAACTTGTGTAACAGAAGCGTTCCAGATTTTTTAACCAGAATACTCATGTTCTCACCAGCTTTAATTGAAAAACAATATGCTGAGAAGGTATTGTTCATCACTCGCCAGTTCAACAGTGTCCCATTAAGCTGTGCTGGGGAATGGGGAAGCCGTGGCGACTCACCATCAGACATCGTGGTCACCATCAGATCCCCGGCTGACTCTCCCAGGCCGTGAAGGTTGTAGGCCAGGATGCGGATCACGTACTCCGTAAACTTTCTCAGGCCGTCGATGCGGTAGTTACGGCCGGCCACCTCCGCGCTCTGAAACCAAACGCTTCTATTATTTCATTTTTTACAGATAGCAACATAAAGCAAAACAACTTTCATAGCTTTATTTATTTACCATATTTTATCTATAAGCCAGTCAAGAGAAAAAAAATGTTCAAATCCTTGCTTTTTTTTTTACATTTGTTTAAGAACTATGTATTATATAATTATTCATAACTACACGTTAATCAGAATTTTACTATGAAATCTACAAACTATACTGTACATTGGGATAACCAGAAATTCAGTTATTCATAACTAAACAATAAGACTAAAAACTTAACCATGTCTAGTAGTTGTAATTGTTATAGTGGTAATAGTAGTGGTGATAGAATTTTAGACAATTTTACATATGGGATATTATTTATTAATATGTTTCATCATTACTTAAATTTGAATTATTTAATTCAATTTCAGTTTACTTCTTCTGAAAAAAGCACAGATCATTATAGGATCCTAACACAATTGTTTTGATTATTTTATCGCTCTACTGCACAGCATTTACTGTAGCTAAAAATAAGTCTTTAACACACTGTTTGAGTTTTTCTTTTCTGCCCAGGTCATAGGTCAGCCGATAGCAAAAACATATGTTATTAATGTTAATTTTCTCTGAATATTCCATGTTATAACTTGGCAAGAATACAGAATACCATCAAAGACAAGTGCAAAATATCTTTGAAATTATTTTTGTCTTAACTTTTTAAAGAAAAACCTAGCTGAGAATGTACTACAGAACATCTTAGCACAATAACAACCTGTAAGATAAATTGTAACCTATCTGGCAACCTTAATGTTAAAAAAGTTAATGTTGTCAACTCCTGGGAGACCTTCTGACGTCAAATTTGACTTAATTGTTTATACGTACTGTACTCCATGTTCGCTACTTATCAGCAGTCCTACCATAGTATATGTGTCACGCCAGGCAGGACGAAGCACATACAAGCAGACATAGAGGCAACATCAAGAGGGGTTTTATTTAAAGTCAAAGCCAAAGAGAATGGAACTGAGTCAGAAACCAAACGGAACCGCGAGGGGTTCAAACAGGAGGACGAAACTGGGGAAAGATTCAGGAAAGCAGAACGAGAGACGTCATAACATTGTGACTATAAAATAAGTGACAGGACTGGGAAACACCTTTAAACCAGGAATAACAAAGGAGAAAAAGAGAGGCAGCTGGAGTGAATCACACAAGGGCAGGAATGAGAAGTACGAAGAATGATGAACAGACGCAGCTCCATAAGGCCAAACTGGGGAGAAAACGGGGGGGCAGAGGCAAGGCGCGACAGTATGGTCTCATGCAGTCACACAATGATGCCGCTTGTATTCTTACCACTAACTATCTATTGTTAATAGAATCAGCCTTTGAAATTCTCCTCAATACCATTCTGGGTTGGCCTATTTATTTATTTTGTTTTGCATTCTTCTTGAGCCTTTGTTTGTATGTTAAGGGTTATATAACTGCACTTCAGGTTATCACAAAAGAAACCCAACAGGTTCTCAACAGAACCTGTGGTACTTATGTTCTGCTTGTAAATGGATGAAAAAAAGGCCGTAAAGAAGGAATTCAGACACGGTATGTTGATGTGAGACTGCAACAGCTTTTTAAGTGCTTTGCTCAAGGGTGCAGCAGTTGGACTCGACGTAAGAGCAAATCCTGTTCCTTTTGCTCACATTTATTACCTAAGCCAGCACCGGCTGTCTTAGTACAGCGTTAGAGGTGCAGTTCGGTAATGGAGGTATGTGTACAAAGCCTGTTTTTGCATGAGCAACACCCAGGTGCCCTAATAAAAGCCCGTGTTTTCAGCTCTGACATGAAAAACATTCTGATTTATCGAACCAAACATCCCAGAGGTCTCACTAGCCCCAGCTTTTCTCTGTGCCCTGAACATTGACCGATCATGTTGCAAAATCTATTGGTAACTCCTCTTCAGATTACAATATTGATTACTTTATCATGTAATGCTTTCAACATCCTGTATCTATTCAAGGGCTAATGCAAGCAGCTAAATTGAGCTGGTCTGTGAATGCTGCAGAGATAACGCAATTACATGACATTTCTGTAAAGAAGCAGGGTGTTTGGGATAATCCTGAAGTGTACAATTTTTTTAAGGCACCCTTTGTAACAGTATATTCACTCGTTTAAAATGGAATCTTTTCCTAGTTATTATCTAAACTGTACAGCAGTGGCTAAAATGACTAAAGTTAAATCTTGAACAAAACCATATAATTACTTTGCCAATAAGTAAACAGGGCATCATGTGGTCTTCCTATCATGTCTTATTTGCGATTTATTTGCAGTGCCCCAAATTCTCAAAGAAAAACATTAGTCTGCGCTTGCTGTAATCTGTGTATGTTGCTTTGGATGAAAGGACAAGCACACAGCAGTGAAACAACCACGGTCTCGACTGACCTGCTCCTTGCCTGTGCCAGTCTCGGTCCAGAAAACCTTGTAGCCAAGCACTGGGCTCTCAGTGAACGCTGGGGCTTCCCAAGAGGCCTGGGCGGAGGTGGCGGACACGGCCTCAGCCCAGGGATTCTCCACAGGCCCTGGAACCTGTGCTGTAGGTCAGAATTACTGGTGTCACATTATCAGAAGATCCTGGACAGATCTAAGGTCCTGTTTGAAACTAGACTGTACATACATCCAGTATAAAAAGAAAGAAATACTGTATCAGTATACTGATACAGTAGGAAGTTGGCATTTTCTTAGTACTACAGATGCTGTGTGCAGGCATATAAGGCATGTAATCACTTACAGCACTTAGCATATTATGGATGTTGAATGAAAGGGAAGCATACAGTACTTAGAAAAAGTAGGCACAGTATGGAAGTCACCTTGTCAACTTAGCGGCTTTCACTCGGACATAATCAGTGAGGTATAGATTAAACACATAAAGAGTGGCTATATTAGCACTTTATATCTTGCACGTCCCACTTAAGAATAAGGAAATGTAAATCAGACAGACGGGGACCATACGTTTCTCTAATGACACTGCTGTGTAGCTGCATTTCTGAAAACCTGTGGGATCCATATTTAATTCACTTTAATTACCTTTCTGGATGGAAGTATAACATATAAAAGCCAGATATAAAACCATATTCCTTTATCCATATCCTGTCCGCCATTATAAAATTTTACATCAGGCATCAAGAGTAACAGAAATGTCTTTCTTGGCACTGTTATAGCAAAGAGAATTAATGTTCTGTACTTAAAGCAAAATGACACAAACCACTAAAAAATTTTCTTCGATATATGCAATATATATGCAATATATACAAATGCATTTCTTTGCCTATCATTCATAGTTTTTATGTCTTACTCCCAGACATTGGGCTTCATAATTATTGTGCAGGCATAACACACTGAAGCTAAATGTTAGCGGACAGATGTTAGCAGACAGAAAGCCCAGAAGATAAAGCAACCTGCCAAATCCCCAAGAAATCCAGGTTTGCTGGAGGCACTCAGGCTTGCTTCAGGGCGCCGACAGCTGATTCCGACAAGACTCTCATCTCATCCGTGCCACAAAAAAAATTACCGTAACTAGTCATAGGTTCTAAGGTAAAGGCTTATTTGCATGTGGGCAGAGGAGCTGATAGGCCACTTGGCTGTAAGCGAAGAGATGACATCCTGCCTTTAAACAGTCGAGTGACTTTAAAAGGCCGATGTGCTCAGTGTGTTTCCTTACCCAGCAATGACTGGCTGAAAACTGACTGTGAGGGTGTTTCTGAAATGCACTAGAACACTTGCAGCATTATGGATCATGTTGCATTAGACGGTGTTTGTTTTGTCATTGGTGGTGCTAAGAACCTTTCCGTCCGCGTCGTGTCTATAGTACTGAATAAACTTGTCCTTCTCACTTTATCCAAACAACAGGCCCTGTAGAGAGGAGGCTTTAAAACCACTGAGAACCTCTTTTTTATTTTTTATCTTTGTGAATCCTTAACCTGTCTGCCCGGGGGTGCGCTTCTGTCAGTAAACGCACAAGCTGGAGCGAGTGGCTGTTGTGGGGGCCTCGGTCGGGCTTACCGTATGGTTTCGTGGTGACAGTGACAGGTGGGGAGCTGGCCCCCGGGCCCTGAGCGTTGTAAGCAACCACCCTGAAAACGTATGTCTGCTCCGGCTTCAGGCCATCCAAGGTGACCTGCAGCCAGGCCTGTGAGGTGTTTACCGATCGCTCCCTGCAACACAAACGGACGTCACTCTTAATGGCCAGCTGGCACTTACTGTCAACCTAATCCACTTAGGTGCCTTAACTGTGTGTTCAGCAGACCACAGACATTTTTCAAACATTTTTTTAGTGAAGTGCTTAAGGTCAAAAACAATTTTCCTGCACTGTAATGAGAGCAGGTCTATAACCATCACATCAGTTTCCGAACATTATAATGTAAAGTTTAAGATAGACCTCCTATAATATTTCACCATTTAAGTGATAGATCAGTGTTTAAGCCGATCCATAGGTGAAGTGGTCATATGTAAATTATTACTGCATGAAAGCTATAAAAGGGACAGGTTTCCCTAGTCACTTTGCCAATATATCTCAGACTGTAGCACACATTGAGTTATACAAATACCTGGAGTTGGGGCACTGTGGCCTACAAACCTGTTAACACCCTCCTCTGAGTAGTAGATGGTGTAAGTCTGGATATTCCCATGAGTCTCCACTGGGGGGCGCCAGCTGAGCCGAATGGAGCGGCTAGACACTAGGACAGGGGCCAGGTCACAGGGAGCGGAGGGGAGGGCGCTGGAGCTCGGGACAACTGGCAGGGGAGGAGAGGAGTCAGTCAAAGAGGTGGGGGTCACGGGAGGCGGGGCCAAGGAGACTGATGTGGGCGTGGCCTCTGTTTTATTCGTTAGTTGGGGGAAGGGAGAGAAATGTAAAAGAACATGGGCCACATGAGTAGAATGAAATGAAGAGACAATGAAAAGATTGAGAGAAAAGAAGAGTGATAAAAGGATCATGAAAGAGTCTATTCAAACTATGACAATTCATCAGTATTTTAAATAAGAGAAACAGCACAGAAATAATCTTTCAGTATTACAGTGAACGAGGTTAACTGTGCATTGGAAAGCAGGACATTCAGGACAGTTGGAAAGAAAGAACTACGTGGTTTTTATTGTAAGGTTAAATGCTGTAATCTGTAAATGGGCCGTTCAGCTATTATTAAATATAAGCAAGCATTACACACAATGGCCGCCACTAATGGATTATTTGGCAACACAACAGACATTTATGCAAGCAAGCACTGACATGGACAGTGGCAGACAGTAGTCAAGGAGGCAGCGGCATTGATATAACACAGCTTTGGTACAACACATGCTCTGAGTTAGCATATGTTTGATTCACAAGATGGACCAGGGTGTGTGCGTGTCAGGCTGCGTGCCTGGTTAAGAGAGACTGGTTACCAGTGTGCCAACACTGGGTGACCTCCAGTGCCATGTGACCACGACATGGCAATGGGATTGGCAATAACCAAAAGCCAAGCAAACAGAATGAAATGCAATGAGAGCAAAAACGAAAACGCAAAAACACTCAGCAGCTGTTCGGTGTGGCCACACTTAAAGGAGCAGCAAGACCTCTATTGTTTCCACTGAGATGTACATTAATGACATTATGGACTATAAAATTCATGACAAGCTGTCCGTGACAGCAATGTAAATATCCAAATCCCCAGTGAGTCTGCACTCACTGCTGCTTGTATTAGTTCTGGTATGGATCCACATATGAGACCACATATGAATAATGCATAAATGCTTTAGCCCCATGTGCTGCCATAGATTTGTCCACCACGGTTGGTCTCTACTGTACATGGCTGGCTCAGCTTCTACTGATGCATACGTACAATTTCCAAACCACTTACCCTGTATAGTGTCACAGTCAACCTGGGGACTATTTTAGGATTGGGGACACCCTAGAGAGACTAGCCGGCACAGAGCACAAAGCTAGGATTCGAACCACCAACACTGGAGGTGCGAGGCACCCTCTTCATCCCAAGATGTGAGAAGTTACTACTGTGCTCCATCAGTGCATTTCACTGGAACTGTCCAGCGTTTACTCTCACCTCTTCAGGGACTGGCAGGGGAACGCTCAGGGTGAAATCACACAAAACGGACAATATAAAGATATCAGTTCCCCTAACTGCATGTTTTTGGACAAGTGGAGGAATCTGTGTTATACAAAGAAAGCCTGATCACACATGGGGAGGCCGTGCAAACTGCACATGCACAGGCCAGGGTGGCGGGTTCGAACTCTCAGCCTCGGAGGTGTGAGGCTGCAGTAAAACTAGTCTAAACTATTTCACATATATCGGTAAAATCTTCTCTCCGCTTCCCCTTGCGAATTCTGGTCATGCCACTCAGATCCCAGGCTCACTGTTGACCAGCAATTCCAGCTTACAACAGTAAAAGGATGCATGTTTCTAACTGATCCATTGACAAGGGCATCCAAGAATCCAGCTTCCAGCAGCAGAACCACTCAATCACCTGATGGCTGGTCCCCAGGTGCTGTCAGCCTTAATCAGGAAAACCCTTATTTGTTTTCCATAACTTAATTTACGGTTTGAGATTCGTATGTATATTGTTTTCTGTTATTAGCAAATTTTGTTTTTTGTTTCTCAATCCCAATGGAAAATCTGCTATAAAGTATTTTGTAAGAACTTGTTTGAGAAAATCTACTATAATGAATTACATCAGACTGATTGGTTACTCGACTCAATGTGTCTGATATGAACCCACTTGCTGAACCATAAATGCTAGCAAATGCTGTTTGAACAAGTGGGTCAAGTAAAGGGCTGTGGTGTTTTTAATTCCCGCTTTGATTCGGATTTTGTACGCGTCTTAAGTCCTTCACAGAACTGCTTTTGCATGAGTCCTGTTCAAATTGAAATGTCCACTTGCACGGACAAACATCCCTGACAGTCTACTTACAAATTCATGCACTGTTTCAGCCACCAAACGCAAATATTTCCTCAAACAACTTGAGCTGCTAAAATATTCGATAGCAGCTGTGCAAATAATCAGAAATGTAATGTGTCAAATACAATTCTTATGCTTTGAGTTATGAAGTGATTTATACAGATTCTCAGTTCTGAGACAGAGGCATGCATGTTTAGATCATTCAACCAAAAATCAATGACATGAAAATGTCAACTCTCTCAATATGTATATCGACTGAACCAGGACCCCATTGCCCTTAATAGGAAAATGGGGGCAGAGGGGGAGGCTTGAAGATCCAAGCTCTTTACCTGACCATTGGCCAGTACGTGTATGAAACATCACACAGGATCTACCCCCATGCCAGGAAAAGTTACAGTCCTCAGTAAAAAGGCGGGAACTGCCTTTGATAGTGCCCTTGATAGTGCACTTGATAGTGCCCTTGATAGTGTCATTGATAGTGCCCTTGATAGTGCAATTGATAGTGTCATTGATAGTGCCCTTGATAGTGCAATTGATAGTGCAATTGATAGTGCCCTTGATAATGCCCGTGATAGTGCCCTTGATAGTGCACTTGATAGTGCCCTTGATAATGCGCTTGACAGTGCACTTAATAGTGCACTTGATAGTGCACTTAGACTGACAGGCTCAGCCTTATCCCTTAGCGCTTTGCAAGTGTTTTGTAGATGCTTAATATCAGGGATGGTATGTGGAAAATTCAGCTCTTGATTTCAAGCATGTTACAGCAATGTTCCTGGTGCATAAAGAGCTACGATCACGCTGGAAGCTGCATACAAAAGCAAGGTCGTCAAAACGAGGCATAACAAATATCAAGGGCATTACAACGATAATCCGGTCATATCAGAAATCATATTCCCTTTATGGTGTGGGTTGTTCTCAAACAAGAATGCATGCTTGCCGTGCAGTGTGCAGCAGAAACACTCGAGTCAGGAGCTGTGCACTGCAGGGTGCTGTTCAGCAGAACCTCGCTATACCGAGATATCCTAATCCTGCTTCTGGCATGCCACTGTATACATTGGCTTTTGTTCCAACTCCGGTATCAGTAACTGAAAAGAGCTGTAAAAAGTGATAGCTCGAAATCATTTTTACCAAACAAACAAGAACAATCAGTTAACTCACTTTACTCAGTCGGTGCCTGCTTACTCTTCAAAAACAGAAATGAAAAACTGAAGTAGCCGCTTTTCCGCTAATGAACAGCTTATGTTCCTTTAGATGGGTCATTAGCGAATGAACGCGATAGAGAAATTTGTGTCAAAAACATTGTTTCATCATTCAGTTAATTATGTGTTCAATGGAAGATGAATGGCCTATACAGAAAATCACCAACCAAGTGGTTCAGTTTAAGAATAATAATTTTGATAATGCAAATAAATAAAGAACCTGGCTTGGGAGATGGCCGAGATGCCAGGAAATTCTGCCTGACTCACATCCCCCCTTCAATTCTTTTAATTTTCATCAACAACGTGCAAGGCTGAAATGAACAAAAAAGAAAATGGAGTAATATTATTGAACTTCAGAATGGAGCTTTAGACATGAAAGCTGTTATATTAGATTCACCTTCACGCATATGTTCCACATACCCACTTTGAAACTAACGTCTACATCACTTTGGAAAGTCTCCATCGTGAATTTTGGAAAGGGGAATAGAATAATAGCCATTTTAAAAACACATTCCAATATTCACATTGGCCAATTTAGAGAAGACATTTAGCCTAAATGCATGTCTTCGTAAAATACATTTAACACAACTGTTTGGCAGAAACACTTAGAAGGCTGGTGTTCAGTTATTCATCTTTGTTCCAAAAATTGAACTATGTAAAGTAGACCACAAAATAGTTTTTTTTATATATATACAAACCCAGACTTCGTGCCATTTAAACAGCTGTTTTTCATAAAAAATGCTGCACAAACTCTGAACCCCAACCATCTTGGATCATTAAATACAAATCAAACAGCCTCCCTTGCTAGATATGGACACGTCACGCTCAGTGCATCATAGCGGAAAATGTGAAACCAATGCCTGTGCATTTATGAGACAAATCCATCTGTTCTGCATACCCATCTAAACCTAGCTGCGTTATTAGAACAGTATCCTCAAAGCTAGGTGCAAAATACAAAGCCTGCAAGTGAAAGTGGTGCCACAAGAGTCGTGTACAGCAAGTCTGGGCACCTGACAGATTTGTAATCTTTGCACAAGCGTGGGGCTGGCACTGAGGGCAGGCCTGCCGCGGCATACCTCCAGGGTCCTGCCCCTGATAAATTAGCAAAAACCAGGACAAACAGAATAAATCCTCACGCCTCATTTTAATCTTAATTAAAGGGCTTCATTTGTATGTAATTAAAATAACATTTCAATAATTATTGCTTCATTGCAATTAATTATTATTTTAAATAATGACGACTAAATCACTACAGCAAAGTTAATATTGGATTGCAGCTCGGCTCATCGGTTAGCCTTGTATCTCCGGAGTCTGTCATGTGCATGTGAGATTTGCTCAGGAAACTCTGAAGATGAGTAGATTGATGTTTCTAAATTGTCTATTGCATGTCCTCCGTGAGGGACTGACATCCTATCCAGGGTATATCCTGCTTTATGCTTCAGGGGACGGCAACCTGACTCACCAAACCCCAAATTGGAAAAGCAGTTATGAAACACTGATGTATGCAAACATATTGTAACTGAAATGTAAGTATGAGATTTATGCGCCCCATCGCGTGAAATGCCAATGAAACTCAATGGGCTATTTTTCATTCACGACTTTGCATCCGTATTTTTGTTCCACAACAAACATTTATTAACGTGCTT